AAGTTATGAGATAGTTGGGAACAAAAGTCAGATAATGTTTAAATCTATAATCAGTAAAGATGAGCCTTGATGTTTTTATTCAGGGTTAAGGTATGCATAGTAAAACTATGTTCTTATAACCATGTTGGAGTTAATGTGAGCACACATATCTACCATATTTGGGTCAATAACTTTAGAGCAGAAGCTTTTGATCACACACTCAATCAATATTTAATTCCCAGTATATGACCAACATTACTGTTAAAGTACTCTTTCACTTTGAGTTTTCAAGGCAGGGGTTCGCTGTATCGCTCTGGTTGTCCTGGAGTGCTCTCTGCATAAGGGGTTAGTCTCAAAATCAGAGATCCACATGTCCCTACCTCCCAAATCATGGGATTAAAGATATTTGCAACCACTGTCTTGGTATTTTGAAATGTTCTCGACAAATATTTTTAATCATTTCAGGTCCTTTCATGGGATTCTGGGTTGAGGAGTTGCAGCAATATGCATTGATAACTCATTCCAAATGCATATTATTATCCATTCCAAATATCCTGCCCTGTAATCACATGACTGTTACAGAACACGAACTACAATGCTACAAGACAATCTTTTACAGTCTTTGGGATCATGGATATCACAATGATCCTCAGTGCTTTGATGAGAACTTTTCAGTAATTTCAGCTAGTGACTCAGGACATTGTCCCAGATGAATGAGTTGCAGCATTTGTCAGTAAGTGGCTTCAGTGGTAAGATACAGATGGGACATACCAGAGATTCCCTAAAACATCTCTAGAGTAGATAATCCTGCATCTTATATATCTGAGCACTCAGGACACCATGGTATATCAGTCTTTGAGGAAATCAGAGTTAGAATATGTGAGACAGTTTCCAGACACAATCCTTTCTGCAAAGGGACCTAGAATAGTGAAACAGTGCTCAGTCCTTTAAACGGTGTTCAGAACCATCAAGTATAGACAAGTCCATAAGGAACTGCTAGGGGTTTGTAATCCATGAAAAGACGGCTCAACCAGAGGAGAAGGGAAAGTAATACACAGTGAAATGGGGAATATAAAAATGCTATAAATCAGTATTTCAATTTATTTAAGGAAATCTCCTACACAGACTTTGCACCAGATTAGCAAGTATTATAATCCTCACATTATTTTTACTTAGGAGAATAAGCTCATATTATCTATTTATAATATTATGAAGCCCAGAATTTGTGTATGGAATATATTATAAGAGGAGGATGTCTATGTAAATACATACTACTTAAGTAGGTGTTCAGTCTTGTGCATTGCAACCTACATGATCCATCAGCATCCCATATATTGTAGTATCTAGTACAGCATTATAGACATTACCCAGCACATTATGAAATGCCCCAAAACAATCATCTAGAACCTTGGATTGCAGGGATAGCTGTTCCTCTATAGTCAGAAGTCACTGATGCCCTGAAGAAACTCTCCTGTGAACTGACAATTCCCATGATATCACATGGATTCTGACCAGTTATAGAAGAGAGGAAATGAATTCATCTGGTTCTCCTTCTTTTATCCTGAAATATTAAGTGCATCCAATTTGTGAACCTGAATTTACAGCACAATATACATGAATATCCTGAATATATGTATACATACACATGTATGTATACATTCATATATATATGAATGTATACATACCTACTTAGCTGCTTTTACCCAGGAACAGCCTCATGAAGGCAAGAAAGACCCTGATCTCTCCTATTTACAGCTTATTACAAATGAGAACTGCTAGAGCTGGATCCAACTAGGAAAGAGGATGACTTTGAAAGCATCATTGATGATAATGTAGAAACAACTTAAATTCATAGGCTGAGACATCAGTCATCTTCTCCAGATAAACAAGAGCCATTTCTCCCTGTATCTGAACCCTGCAATCACATTAGATTCAGGGACATGTTACTGCTGTAGTCAGATGGGGCAACTTCAAGTGTAAAGGATGGGGAAATCTAACTGCTGGTGAGTTCAGGGCCAGCAGGGGGCACAATGGGGCCACGAATCCCCAGAAGATAGATGTGCTGGGTGTGTGGGGACTCTGTATCCTCTGTGGCTTCCTTTCTTAACTTATATGTACCTATTTTGATTGACATGTAATGTTTCCAAGCTCAAACACTGTGAAGATTCTGCATTAAACACTTCAAAGATTTATATTTTCTTGTTTTTTAATGTATATAAACCCGGACCTCCGAGATCTCTCAGACACTGGGCCACATTCCAAGCAGCATACACGAGCTGATCTAAAGCCCCTGAACACAAATGCAGCAGAGGACTGTCTAGTCTGGCCTCAGTGGGAGAAGATGTCCTCTAGATACTTTTAGCCTCTGGGTGGGGAGACCTGGTGGTGGTGGAGGAGGGGAGCATACTCTTGAAGACTGTTTTGGGAAGAAGGAATGAGGGGAAAAACTGAGAGGAGGTAGATGGGGAGGGGCGGAAAGACTGAACTGTAAAAATATAAAAGTAATAAAATATAAATAATAAATTTATACAGTGTATTCTGATCACTGATATTTTTTCCAAAATATGCCAGAACCTTCAACACTCACCCAACTACACACACTTTCATTCTTTTTAGCAAGAAAAAATATGAAAAGGGTTAAAAGAATTAAAATAGAAGAAACACACACAGACACCCACCCGTAAAAATGCAACTCTCTGACCATGATATATACCTAAAAGACAAGTACAACAAAATTAGTGCACAAATCAATGAGAGTAAATATCTACAAAAACACTGTTCAGTTCATTTTGTTTTGGCCTTCTACTGCTAGACATGAATCCATCATTAAATGTGGTTAATAAACCCAATAATGCTCCATTGGAGAAACCTAAGTTACCATCCTTTAATATGGTTTATGCTACACCAATGTCTTATTCTCCATTTCCCACCACCATTTCATGTTTGAAATATCACGCCTCATCTATTGACTTCTCTGCCTTCATTTTATCTCTATTTTGCTATATCATCCTTTTAAATTCATCAGACAAGACCCTAATGGCCTCGCTGAACTTATACAGTGGCTGACCTAGCAGTTTACAATATCAGTCTCCATGTAATATGTACCCACTAGTGCTTCAGTGTTATACAGTGGACAACTGCTTTCTAATAGGATTTTTAAACTGCTCCATAGGGAAGACTTCATCCCAGTTAAACATGGTCAAAAGCCCATGGCTACAGATGACATAGGCATAGGAGACCCTAGTTGCATTGCTAATGGTCACGTTGAGACAATACCTCATAACACGCATGTTTATACAAAGTAGATTATTGCTGCTCTCATTTTTGATCACAGAGGCTTCTGAGTTAAGTGTGTAATGATTGATGTAGACACCCACGACTGGTCTAGTTCAGAGAATGAATGCCCGTATACTCAACTACAGAGGAGTCATCTATACAAATGTTCCATGAAAAACCTGAAAACAATCTCAAAAGAAGGTTTGGTGAGGCCATAAGTTCAAAAGTGGGGTGGTTAGACATGACATAACATATGATTTGACAGTGTCACACGAAGTTTCAGCACAAGACCTGAACAATTCAAGCCAGTCAAAGTTACAGGTTGACAGCTTGTGAAAGACTGAGTAGATAAAATGTCTTCTTGTCACTTCAGAAATAGCAATTTGATCCATTGGGCCCACATGGTAAAATACAACAGTTGAATTTCCTAAATTGTTTTCTGAGGATCACCCATATTCCTTGGTATATGTATATTCTATTCTCACCACTAAATGTAGGGTAACAATGAAAAATATCACAACATGAATGGGAAGGAATGTCTGAGGGCCCATCTCAAGCTGAGAGTCTATTGACATTTGAAGACTAATGAGAAAAGTTTCATTACTTTTTGAGAATTTTTCTATAGGTTCTCTATGTACTAGTGAATGATCACCCATATGGGTTTATCAATACCACTTATCGGACTTACCATATTATTAGTTAATGAACTAAAAAGGGTCAGCTTTTTTGGTAGAGAGTATTAGTGGAAACTCCCAAGGGAAATGAGAGTGTCATAGTGGGGAAGTTAATTATAGTATGTTTTATTTAGGAATGAAAATTCTAAAGAATATAAATAATTCTGAAAACTAGAGATATCAATTTTATATATTTTTAGCATTTTCATAAAAGTGTATTTTGTACCTTGTGAATATTTTCTCTATAACCTCTACAATTCCTTTTCTTGCCTTCCTATATTTCACATTATTATGTAAGAAAGTTTCATTTATATATCACTATGATTTTGAATAAGCAAGTCTATATAACAGTGTGATATTTAAGAACTACAAATGAGAGACTCATTTTATGTCTGTGTTTCTAATATGGGCTTAATTAATACATTTATCTCCAGTTGCATCCATTTTCCTAAAATTTATGTAAGTTTCCTATTCTTTTCTGATGAAAAGTTTATGTTGTGTTATACATATGAACAAAACTCCGTTGATAAAATAAAGTTTATTTCCATAATTTAGTCAATTTGATGCTGCTGCAATAAGCATGAATGTACAATCATTTCTGAAGTATATTTACTTTTGATCGTTTGGGTGAATTTTTTACTATATAACAATTTGGAAAGTCAAATGTTAATGGTATGTCTTGTAAGGATGCTGTAAATTCTGAAAAGTTAGCTATTTTTGAAACTACCCATCACTATAATTTTTCTATGACCATCTGCAAATCTATCTGATAACCTTGTCAGAAGTGGAGCAACTGTCTCAGGCTGGAAATCTATTTAAAGCCTAGGCTGTGATGTTACATCCACATCATCTGCACATTGCTCATGGAATGGGTATTGGATGAATTTTCTCAGAGAGGATTAGGACTTGGATCTCAGCATCCTTCTGCTTAATCTTGGTGTTCTCTATCTCCATCTTCTCCAGCAGGACTAGTTCCTTACCTAAGAAGTACCCTGCTCATGAATATGTAAATCATGTGAACCTGTGGTGGTAAATATAGGAATGTTCACACTTCACAACAACACATGATCACTGTCCTCTCTATAGTAACTGAGAACAGAGGACCACACCATGGGATGGAGCCAGATCATCCTCTTTCTGGCAGCAGCAACTACATGTAAGGGGCTTCCGATTCCAGATCTGAGGATGAACCACACACTCAGGTGACAATAATATCCACTCTGCCTTTCCTTCCACAGATGTCCTCTCCGAGGTTCAGCTGCAGCAGTCTGGGGCTGAGTTGGTGAAGCCTGGGTCCTCAATGAAAATGTCCTGCAAGGCCTCTGGCTACAGCTTCACCAGCTCCTTTATGCACTGGGTGAAACAGAAGCCTGAGAATGGCCTTGAGTGGATTGGACGGATTTATATTGGAAATGCTGATACTAGCTACAGTGAAAAGTTCAAGGGCAAGGTAACACTGACTGCAGACACAACCTCCAGCACAGCCTACATGCAGCTCAGCAGCCTCACATCTGAGGACTCTGCAGTCTATTACTGTACAACACACAGTGTTGTAACCACATCCTGAGTGTGTCAGAAACCTTGGAGAATCAGGAAATTGCTCTGGGACTGAGATGACATAGATGATTAGCTTGGAGACTCATGTAGAAATAATCATTACAAATGCCTATTGTTTTGTTGCTCCTCCTTAGAGACCTAAATTGCAACTATGTAAAGTATATCTGTGAATACAGTGATGTTGGTTGAGGATCCTCCTAGTGTATGTCATATCTTTCAGTCTCTTTTCTAGTGACCAGTAACCATCTCCATTGATAAGTTTCTTTTTCATAAAACAACAAAAAAGACAAACAGTGATTATATATGATATAAATATTCGTGGATTCTAAGATAAACCATAACTTTTGTTGTAATAGCTGGGAATAAAGTATATTACAAATTTGACCTGTAACAGCAAAGCAATCTCTGGGTAAAGAAAAATTCCTTACACAGTTGTAAGTCTTAAGTGACATCCTGGTGTGTTGTCAACTCTGGCTGTGTGGTCTGTCAGAAATTCCAGTCTCTTAGAATGTAACAGATATTTTTAATCACTATGCATAGTGACATAAGTATAATAATTTCAAGTTGGATGAAAGTATTGTTAAATCACTTTTCAAAGACCTCATTTATAAATTCAATGCATGAACATGTTAGCTGAGTTAGGTTCTGATGTTATATATTAATATCTGCTCTCATAAAAACTGGACTAAGTCCCAGTAGTCATTTGTACAATCACTAGTCTTTTGAGAACATGGACCTACAGTGATATAGCATTAAGTATCACAGTGGGTTGCACACCGAGAGCTTACTAAAATACTAGAGAATATTTGTGAATTTATTTACTTCTGTATATATGTGTGTTTCTTGTGCTTTGTTTTTGGTTCTTTTGCTTCTGATTTTTTTCCTTTGTCCTATTACAGGTTGTTTGCTTTTTTGTTAGCTTATTTTGTTTTTCTTCTTTATTATTTTTAGGTTCTGTTTGTTTACTAATTTGATAAAGGAAGGGAGTTGAGGAGGGAAAATCAGGCAGGAGTTGTGAAGAGGAATCAGTAATCAATATAGTGTACAAAAATAGATTTTTCAATAAAAAAAATACAAAAAAATAAGACCCAAAAGGTGTCCTGTCTACAAGAAACATAGGGACAAAGATGGAGCAGATACTGAGGGACTGGTTAACCAATAACTGGCCCAAGTTGAGACCCATCCTATGAGCAAGCACCAATCCCTGACAGTATTAATGATACTTGTTTATGCATGGAGACAGGAGCCAGCCTGACTATCCTCTGAGAGTCTCCACCTATCAGTTGCCTGTAACAGAGGCAGGGACCCACAGCCAAGCATTGGATGGAACTCAGTGACTCTTATGGAAGAGTTAGAGGAAGGATTGAAGGCCCTCAAGTGGACCAGAACCTCATAGGAATCCCAACAGAGTCAAATATCCTGGACTATTGGGGGCTGTCACATACTGAACAATCAACAAAACAGCATACACTGGTTGGACCTAGCCCTCCTGAACATATATAACAGATGTGCAGTTCTGTGTTCTGTCTTCATGTGGATCTTGCAGCAACTTGAGCAGGGTCTATGCCCAAAGCTGGTACCTGACTGGAATCTGTTCAACTGGCTAAACTGCCCTTGTATGACCTCAGTGGGAGATGATGTGCCTCCTGCTGCAGAGGCTTTATGTGCCAGGGTGTATGGATACTCATGCATGGCCCACACCCTCGAAGGAAGTCTCGGAGGGGAGACTTAGAGGAGACAGCAGCCAGGTTTTAAAGTGAGTAAGTAAATAATGTGAAAACTATAAATGAACCAAGAATTCTGATATCATTTTCTTTGTAAATTTTACATAGGCCCGAGTTCCTATACTTTGTGTCTCCTGTCCCTTTTTAAATTGTTTAAAGTTTAATTAGAGGTCAAGGTTAGTAAGGATTTAAGGCAAAGGCATATGTAAACTTCATAATGCTAAAGTGTTATGAAAAAGTAAGTAAAACATTTGGGCTTTAAATTGTCTGTGTGTTTGTTTGTGTGTGTGTGTGTGTGTATGTTTGTGTGTGTGAGTGTGTTTGTGTGTGTGTGCCTGTGCATGTATATATGTGTCTCAATGTTTGTGTATTTTCTGTAATTAATTTTCTGTTATTAAACTCTAAGTGCATATAGTAATTTCTTTTAGGAAAACGTATTACTTCTTGAAGGCATCCTTGTAGGTGTCAGAAAGAGAAGCAGCTCATATGAAAAGACAAAATGGAACATTGTGAAGATTGACTTTTCAACTTGGATCAGACACAGGGAATCTAAGCACAGGCAGTTTATTGTAGGTAGGATTGTTGAAGCTTGAGTTGTCAATTAATACTTGTCATGATGAACACAAGATCTGACAGAACTCACTGCAGTTAGTTCCTAAAATCTGTGTCATCGTCCTTCTGGTCTGCCCCCTCCCCAGCCCCATCCAGGCACTGAGCAGATCTTAGGTTTCAGCTGTACACCCAATCCCACAAAACCCAGAGGAGGCAGGATTTTGACAGTATCTTAGATAAGGAGGCAGCAACATTCACCCCAAACAAGGAGTAACTGGGACCCACTGGGGCTCAGAAATTCACTCCTGGCCAGGGGCACTGGTTCCTTCTGGTCTGGCCTGAGCACTGAGCAGATCTTGGGCTTCAGCTCTAACTCTAGCAGCAACATCCACCCCAAAGAGTTCTGGAACAACAAAGATAATAGGAAAGACAGGCTCCAGTCACAGACAGGGCAGGTAGCACTAAGAAGGTCCAGATGGTGAAAGGCAAGTGCAAGAACATAAGCATCAGCAACCTGGGGTACTTGGCATCATCAGAACCTAGTTCTCCCACAATAGAAAGTCCTGAATTTTCCATCTCAGCATGAAAGCAAGATTCAGATTTAAAATCACTTCTAATGATGATGTTAGAGGACTTCAAGAAGGACATAAATAACACTCTCCAAGAAATTGAGGAGATCACAGGTAAACAGATAGAAGCCCTTTAAAAAAAAAAACACAAAAATCTCTTAAAGAATTACAAGAAAACACAATCAAACAGGTGAAGGAATTGAACCAAAACCATCCAGGACATAAAAATGGAAGTAGAAACAATAAAGAAATCACAAAGGAAAAGTACTCTGAAGATAGAAAACCTAGGAAAGAAACCAGGAGTATAGATGCAAGAATCACCAACAGAATACAAGAGATAGAAGAGAGAACCTCAGGTGCAGAAGATACCATAGAAATATTGACACAGCTGTCAAAGAAAATGCAAAATGCAAAAAGTTCTTAACACAAAACATCCAGGAAATCCAGGACACAATGAGAAGACCAAACCTAAGGATAATAGATAAGGAAGAGAGTGAAGATTCCCAACTTAAAGGGCCAATAAATATCTTCAACAAAATTATAGAAAAAAACTTCCCTAACCTAAAGAACAAGATTCCCACAAACATACAAAAAGCCTACAGAATGCCAAATAGACTAGACCAGAAAAGAAATACCTCCTGTCACATAATAATCAAAACATTAAATACACAAAGCAAAGAAAGAATATTAAAAGCAGTAAGGGAAAAAGGCTAAGTAACATATAAAGGCAGACCTATCAGAATTATACCAGACTTCTCACCGGATACTATAAAAGCCAGAAGATCCTGGACAGATGTCATACAGACCCTAAGAGAACACAAATGCCAGCCTAGGCTACTATACCCAGCAAAACTCTCAATTACCATAGGTGGAGAAACCAAGATATTCCATGACAAAACCAAATTTACAAAATATCTTTCCACAAACCCAGCACTACAAAGGATAATAGAGGGTGATTTCCAATACAAGGAGGGAAATTATACCCTAGAAAGAGCAAGAAATAATCTTCTAACAAATACAAAAGAAGATAGCCACACAAACAATGCCACTGCTAATAACAAAAATAACAGGAAGCAACAACCTTAATATCTCTTAACATCAATGGACTCAATTCCCCAATAAAATGACATAGACTAATAAAGTGGATAAGCAAACAGGACCTAGCGTTTTGCAGCATACAGGAAACCCTCCTCAGTGACAAAGACAGATACTACCTTAGAGTAAATGGCTGGAAAACAATCTTTCAAGCAAATGATTCAAGAAACAAGCTAAAGTAGCCATTATAATATCTAATAAAATCGACTTTCAACTTAAAGCTATCAAAAAGGATAAGGAAAGACATTTCATACTCATCAAAGAAAAAGGCAACAATCATGAACACTCAATTCTGAGCATCTATGCTTCAAATGCAAGAGCACCCACTTTTTTTAACTTGATTTTTTATTGGATATTTTATTTATGTACAATTCAGATGTCATCCCCTTTTCCCATTTCCCCTCCCTAGAATCCCCTAGCCTACACCCTTTCCTCCTTTATGCTTTTATTCCATTTTGATTACATGCATGTATTAAGGTCAGTTCTAGGTTGAAGGTCTAACAATACAAGAGATGCAAATAGTCAAGGAACAAGCAGTACAATAAGCACAAATAGTCAAAGAAAAAGCAAGACATTAAACCCAATTACGTGAACATTCCCGTGATCACTGTTTCTAAAGGCTTATCAGGGTGACCAAAGTATTTGAGCCTACTTCCCTGTCCTAACTCAAGACCATTTTCATATCTGCCCATCATGTTAAAGCTTGTCTCTAACTACATAAACAGGCTGGCAGCCAAAGTACATTGCTTGAAACTGAAAATAGACCCCCAGAAAGAGTTATTAATTTAACAGGCTGGCAAGCCAAGGATGGGTAAGATTCTGCACAGAGCCTTAATAACCAAAGACAGATGTGGATTGCTTATGTTAATGCATATTCCACGACAAGTAAGGAGGGCTTTCTTGTCAGAACAACCTAAGACAGGCTCACTCTGGTTTATGCAATAAAAAGGGGGAGATGTGGAGAGCTTTTGGGGCTGCCTTTCAGGAATCTGTCATTGGCCAAGGACAAAGAAATAGTCTGTTGGAAAGGAATCTGACATAGGCCAAAACCAAGGAAATGGATTCCAGGC